AGCAAGAAAGACAATAAGAAATTATTATGGATAAATAACACCCCATTATCATGTTCATAACATCATAACCCCTGTTTTACATGTTCATAAAAAGACCCTGTTTCTAACTGTGATCACCTGAAAACCATGGCCTTTAGTAAAAGAAATATCTAAAATGTGTCTGGATCATGTAACCAGCCTTCTGTGCTAGGGCCTCAGAGAACAGAAACCAGTGTAACTTCTGCAGATCTATAATTTGTTGTAGGGGTTAAGTATATGGCTTGCTGGTTTTACCCCAAAATAACAGATATTCTATATAAATAAATTTACACTATTGAAAACAGGGCAGACTGTGATTTTGTTTATTTAATCTGAATCAATTTAACAAACTGACCCAAAGAAAAGTATTTCAAATGCCATGACTTGTATATGTCGGTTGTTGAGGTTTTTTAAAGAAACAATAAGACAGATGGTGTGTTAGATTAACCTGAGCTAGGAAAATAGAGACATAGCCAAAATTAAAGACAAAGACTAATATCTGTGCAAGGAAACACGCTGAAAACAAACTAAGTTTGACCTCTAGTAATGCTAGCAGCTGGGCTATGCTATACATGAGTGCAACCTCAGACCTGTTCTCTTTAAATTGCTTTTTAAGGGTCCATTTTGTTGGACTCTTCCTGATAAATTAAGTCTTGGGTGAGTTTGCTGCTATTTTCTTTTTTTTCTCTAAGGAAAACCTTCAGACCAATCTACTGAGAAACAGAATTAAAGTTCATCTTGTGGCCTGTTGCTGTATAAATTTTCATAAGAAAGAAATTTATGCTGAAGTAGTGAATTAGCACATTTCCTGTAGATTCCTGTCTTGCAGTAAAATTTTCTCAGCCAACTATTTCAAACTAATTTTTCTCTATTAATGGTACAATTTTACATATATTTTGTCCCCATGTTACAGCTTTTTTTCCAATACTGCTTCCTATTCTCAACTGCTGGCTGCTACCTTCCCTGCCCCTTTTAAGTGCCACATTGTGATGTGAGATAAAGAATTACTTTGCCTTTGGTGTTTTAGTTTGGGTTTTTGTTGGGATTTTTTTGCTTATTTGTTTTTCTTTCTGGAGTCAGTGTTTATTTCATGGTATCAGTGTGGTTGAGGAGTGTGATAAATCACAAACATAGATGAGCAGACAAAAATGTCTCTTAAAATGGTCACCTCTGCAGCTAAAAATGTATGTGCTATTGCACTCTTGTAGACCTTGGAGCAACATGATATCCAAAAATCAGTGAGAAATAGTTTTGATGAGGCTAATTAATTGAAAAAGGGTATCAGGATTTTGCCTAACAGGATGGAATTGCAGTGCTAAGACAGGAGCACTCATATGAGATGCTCTCAGATTGTGTCTCCCATCCAAAACCCTATGCAAGACTCAGGTACTTTGAAAACAGCAATTGAAATCTGATTGAGAAGTCCTGGTCTAAGAGTCAATAGCTTGTCTCTAGACATGAAATCTCACTCAAATCTAGTATAATGTACACCTGTAAAAATTTATTCTTAAAAAAAATATTTGTGTGTATTTACAAGAACACATCAGCTTTACCTCATGTTTAAATGAATATGACAGAGCTCAAACGTGATGTGGCATGCATAAGCTTTCATACAACGCTCACACCTCATGATTTTTCTTGAGATTGTGCAGCACTTTTAATCTTGACTTACAAGAGTTTAAGGACATGGCAATTTAACAAATTCTCTTACATGTGTTACAATGTGTTGCTACACTGTCATGCAATATGAATGTCTTACTGAAAACAAATATTAGAAAGTATTGCTACTAAAATGGGATAAATAAATGTGCCAATGCATTTCTTTTAAAAAATAATCAAGGCAGTATTCAAGACAGTCTCATAGTATGGAACATCTGTGAGGCAGCGACCTCCATCTTAGACTATTTATTGTATATGAACTAGAAAAAAGTGACTTTTAATTGTATAGTTTAATATTTTTACAGCAACTTTCATCTTCTGCCAGAGGACTTTTAAAACTGGTATAAAACCATGTAAGTTTGCATGCTCTTGGCATCAATATTTAGGACTCTTGGGTTATGTTTCTGCAGCTGGACAGCCAGGGACAAATAATTTCTCTGATCAGGGCTTTTACAACCTCAATAAAGTTGATTAATAATAACACTCCAGTTCTTCTCAAAATGATAAATATACGTTGACAAAACATGAAGTCTAATATCTAGGTTATTATTATTTAATTTCTGCCTCAACATGCCCTTGGTATAAAAGCATCCTTACATTCCTCTAAAGAACAGAGTTTGAATGGGATCGAAAGATGTCAGTGGAAGTTTCAAGGAATCTGGAATGAGGCAAAACATTTTTTTTCTTGAGCAGTTTTTTAGTTTTGTCTAAATTACTTCAGTGAACAGGAATTTAGGTTTAACCCAAAGATAAAATCTCTAATGCTGCAGGTTTCTCAATCCCTATGGGTTACATTTTCTTTTATACTGAAAGATTTTCTTTAGGAAAAGAGTTTATTGCCATTACTCAGAGGTAAGATGATTCATGATCATGTACTCCACTTTGCAGAGGAATTTTTCCTTTATGTAGTAATTAAGTAGTTGTTCAATGTCTGTTTTCTAGTCTTGTTTAATATCCTCATTCAAATTTTGATAAAGATCTATTTTGTTAATCAGTCAGAGCTGTGCTTTGTCTTTTTTTTTGTTTTAAAGATTCACTCTCAACCACACATATAGCTATTCCCTCACAGTGACCCATCAAGGGATTGTGGTTAATGTCTCTTTAAAGTATTTTAAATAATAATTTTTTTTAAAAAAATTAAAAAGCAAAATGCTGAATGAATGAGAATTCAAATTGTAATCTGTTTGCTGAAGATAAGAAGAAAGCACTCTTGATGCTCATCTGAGAGTCATAATAGTGGTTTAGAGACTATCCCACTGCTGTATAGTTCTGTGTAAACTGTAAAAAGTAATTTACAGCTTACACAGAACTATAGTATAGCTGCCAGGAAGGATCCTGAATTATCCAACTTTGCAAACGTTAGACGTGACAGCATTGAGGCAACACCCCATATTCTGCACTTAGGCAGAGATCCCAAAGAACTGCTGTGTGTCTGTGTACCTGACCATGCTCCAGCACATATCAGATTGTCATTGAGAATAAGAAAATCTGTACTAATCGCCATTTTCACCAATTATGTTTAGCTACCTCGTGTGCTCGAAAGGTAGCACATGGATCCACTCTTGAACTCTCTCAGTGGGGTGATAAAGCTCCCTGGTTTTAAAACACATTTGTAGAATTAATATCCCTATTATTAAAATATTAAATAAAAAAAATCTTGCTAGATCAGTTGTAAGAATTTGTGTTTCTTTAGAGAAAGGTAAGGTCTGCATCATCCTGTTCAAGCTTAGCAAATGCACTGTCTTGCAGTCAGCAATTTTACTACTCAATTTAAAAGTAATTATGTTAAAATGCTTTGAATTGTGCTTTCCATCTCATTTCCTTTATTTTTCAGCTTCAAACCTTTTAAAGCATCTGTTATCTGAACTTGTGGGATTAATTGTCTATCTTACATGTCTGTACAGGTTTTGTGATACAGACTGCTTAATCACCTCTTTCACAGTAGTTCTTAACATTTTTGTGATGAACAGGTTGGTATTTTATTTCATTTCCTTATTCCATATCACTATCTAAACGAATTATAGAGTGTTATAAACAACTATCTTTTCCTAAGCATAGGCTTGGATACAAAATGCTTTACCTTACATGCTTCCTATCTTTGCAGGAAATTTGGGGACTGGTGTCTCAAATGATATTTGCCCAATCATGATTGTGCAGAGGCACAAAAGGTACCTGCTATTTTATTAATAGCCTTTTCTAATCAGAGATGTTTTTTTAATGCTGACATTGTACCAGAAAAGAAATGAATGCATTACAAGTCTTTTAAAATATTGTTACTCTCCTCCTACTTATAGAACCTTCGCTGTTGATCCCTGCTCTGAGAAAGGAGTCAGATATAATTTAATTTAATAGAAACTATCCCTTGAGCCTTTCATTCCTAGAAACTCCCACTTCATTCCATTTTTCATATTCAAATCACAGAAATATTTGAACACTCTGTTTTTTGGTTTTTTTGTTTTTATTTTTTAATATATACGATCCACAGGTCTTTCATATCTTCCCATTCCAAAAATGTGTCTTATACATAATGCTGGGAATTACATTATTTTCATTCATTTCAGCAGATGCATTGACTCCTTTCATTAGTTACAGTACACTATGACAGCATATATGAAATCAGCAGATCTGGCTAGACTTTTAACTCTCCATTTATCCTATGAGAACCAAATTCTGAGAGCTGACTAATTTTTCAAGATTCCTGAAATATCTTATTTGATTCATAATATGTGTATCCATCTGAATAGATGGAAAATCAGTTACCATAAGTGTAATCTGCTTATCTGACACATTTTTCCCCCCATTGGGTTTTTTTATTTCACTGTGGGTGTTATTTCAACTGCTTATTTAAACACACTGAAGATGGGGATAAGTACAGAGAAAGTATTGTGAAAGTCTGTTTCTACACTTATGCAGGTCAAATGTAACTGAAGCTCATTAGTGACCCTGATTTCACCACAAAAATCATGACAACTTTATAAAATATACATTTAACTTATGTTATGACATTCATGTCTAGAAAAGGGGATTTAATCAGTTAATATGAAAACTACCAGAATAGTTCCATTTATCAGATTTTGTTTCTTCTATGCATATGAATGTAAACAGTTGAGCAAGTGTGAGTTTGGGAAATGTGTTTATTATGTTATCCTTTTAACCTCATGAACTGTTTGGTGTATTTAATGTAGAATTGCATCAATCACTCTTTCCAGACAAGACTCTGTATAGATACTTTGCATTCCTGAGAAATCACTTGAATAAAGTAAGAGGAAATAATCAATAAGCAAACCAAGAAAATCTACATAAAAGGATTTTTGCTAACTTTTATTTTCCCCTGGGGTGGTAAATCACTGCTGTCCTACAGCAGGGTCAGGTTGCCCAGGGGAATGAACAGTGGCTCGAGAGCACTGGGAAAGTGGGATGGGGGCTAGAGGGAATTGCAACTGCAGAGAGGACAGTGCTGAGCTGGATGGGCCAGGCAATGCATCTGCCCAATGGCCCAGCCCCCCAAGAAGGAGTAAAAGAAGAACCTCCCATCATCACAGTCATGGACCTTGCCAGCATGTAGGACATTAAACTTTCAAACCTTACCAGGGAAAAAAATGAGTTTTAGCCACTTCTTCTTCTCCTGGTTATAGTCTTTAACTTAATAAGTATCAAAATCTTCTGTCAAGCAAGGAAGAACATACTGCATTAAACTTACCTTAGAAGAGGCATTAAATGTATTTAAGAGGAGTCAGAGTGGGTGAGAGGGTTTGCTGAATTCTGAGGCTTGCCAGAACTTGACAGCTCAGAGCTGTTCCTTACTTCATCCATGTTCTTTGAGAAGGGGCAAAGCATACTGTCAGAGGAAAAAGGACTACATAGACAGCTCTCTTGATATATTCTGTGATATAAGAGAGATCACATCTGGGCCTTGCCCATCTCAGCTGGAATGTTCTCACCTATGGCTTTCATACAGAAAAAAAAAATTCCTGTAATCTCAAAGCATTTCCTGGTTCTTCTATAAATTACTTAACAGTAAGACTATTTTGAACTTTAATTTGTTTCAATGCAAACAATTCAACAGTGAGCACAGTGTATGTCCAATCAAAAGTTTATCTGGCTCTGGTTTCTCCCAAAGCAAAGACGAGCTGCCAGGTCACTGCTGTCACCACTGACCCCCCTGGGTTGACCCCTGTGTAAGTGCTGCTTCAGTGGAAACTAGAGCAACATCAAGACATTTCTTACCTCTCAGTCAGAGGCCACAAGTCCCCCCCACAGAACCAGGATGACTACTGGAGTCACCATCAATTTTTTTGGTGACACAACATTCTGATGGCTGCTACGTGTTCAGGATTTGGTGGCTTGTTCCAATCTGTGGAAGACATGACCTGCTGCAATGCTGCTGAGTGACTCTTCATCCTCACTGAAACCACAGGTGACATAGTTGCACTGTTATTCCACATTCAGTAATTTACTTTTGTTTATAAATTAACCACTGTGTAGGAATAAGAGCTATTTTAGGATAAATTGAGACTAAGAGACTGCTCTAAATCTGTTTCTCTTTAGAGTTAGCACACAATGAACTGCAGTGAACAAGCTCATGATCTGCATCTTTCACCTGGCAGATGCTCTTTTTGCTGTGTGAAAAGTGATTCATTAAACTGGTCACAAAGGGTAAATCTCAGAGTAATTTTACTTAAAATCTTTGTCCTGTAGTTTATTATATACAAAATAGAAGCAGCCAAAATTGGTTTACTTTATCACCTTACTCATACAGCACACTTTGGCAAATGAGATGCTTATCTCAGTCTGGAGAGCATTTTTGTCTGTGTAGTCAAGCTGGAAAGGAGATGGATGAAGATATGAAAAAGGAAAAATAAATAAAAGTCAAAAGGGGAAGTGTGAAATAGGTCATAATTTTAATTAATGAGTGTATATAGAGTGAATATAATGCATAAAAATTGTGGATATCTGATACCTTCCAATAAAGGATTATATGCATTTCATTTAGGAAATCTCTTAAATCAGCCAATATTTACAATGTCTCTGAGGCAGATAAGACTGTCAGAGCTGAAGCAAAGTCCAGAGCCTTTTACCAGATGATTTTCAGCAACTTATTTCTCAGGCAAAAATTACACAAAGTGAGACAAACACAGGTCAGTTTTTCAGAGTGGAACCCCTGCCTACTTTCAGCATTGTAGGAAATCCTGAGCTGGGCAGTTCACCCAGGCATGATACACACACATACCTGTACATCACAGTGTGGATCTATGCCAGATGAATTTGTCAGAGCTCATTTTTAAACTCATATGCACTTGTGGTCAGAATCTTACAGCAATGCATCCTAAGGGTTAATTATGTGTACAATGAAAATGTACTTCTTTCAAACCTTCTATGTTATAATACTGAGGAATGATAACTTCTCTCTATAAGCTATGCCCAGTACAGATCACGACTTTACAAACACCTGTAATCTCTAGAATCCACTGCTTTCATAGGTGAACTTTAATCTCTAGATTCCAATGTTTTTAACAGCCCTTCATGGTTTATGCAAATCTCTGAATTGGAAACCTTTTTTATTTAATGAATTTGCACTAATTCAATGCCTGACTCATTGGCTTAATTAAATGGAAACATCTTCCATGAATCACAGTATTTGTTTACAGGAGTGAAAAAAAATAGTCCCAAGTTCCCCTGTGTATATGCAAATTTTATTCAGAAAATGGAGTGTGGCTGCACTAACTTGATTAGTACTGATGGATGGTTATGTAACTAGGATGAGTGGTAAGGAAACATCATATATCAACACAATCAGATCCATATGCATTTATTTATGTCTTAATCCACAAAAACTGTGAGATAACTTGAGAATGCCCTAAGCACAGAGTGTCTTTTCGGTATCAATTGATTATGATTCTTATTCATTCAACCGATCTTATTCAGCCAAGCTGCTGTATTTTACTAGATGCTCAGTTAAGCCCCTAAGAACCACTAGATGGCATTTGTTAGCTGCAAATGAACTAAATCCAGCTAGCTCTGGGGGAGGACTGGAGGGAAAGGATTTATCTACTAGTAACAGTCATGTGGACGGTTTTAGGTGAACAATTCTGTGATTTAGACAGGGGAAAAGAGTTAGAATTATGGTTAAAATTAAATCCTGAACATCAGAGGCACAAAAGAGAAGAGTCTTGTCGAAGTGATAAGCGCAGCTAGCCCAAAAGCAAAATTCTTGGCAAGGAAAATAATGCATTAGAGTCTGACTGACAGCCAAGCAAAAAGTTTCCCAGTGGTCCTCATAGGTAGGAGTCACTTCACTTTCCTGTTACAGAAGTTGCATTCCTGCTTGTCCAGGTGGTTCAAAGCCCTGCCCAGATCACCTGAGCCCTTCATTTCACCTGGATCCTGAGCCACTCTAAGATCTTGGTCCCAGTCTCCCCCAGTAGAGCAGTGTCTCTGCCATCCAGAGCTCCCACCCTGAGCAATCTGAGCTCCCCCAGCCCCTGAACATTGCAGCCGTGCCCATCTCTGGACACTTGTCCTGCTCCTCTGGTCCCCAGCTCACTGACTTGCCATACTGCCATCCATGGCTCTGCCATCGCCTTGTCCCCACAGCCCTGACCACTTCTTCCAGGCTCCACATGCAGGATGATATCCCAGCCTGACTAACCAGTTGAGTTCTGCCCAAGTAGGGTGCTTGAAAAAAAAAATAATAGAAAAGGTTGCAAAATACATGCTTTTCTATTTAAAAAAAAATCTAGAAGAAAACATCTGAGGCTATTTGTAACAAACCTCAGTTGGAACCTGAAAAAGAGTTGCTTGAAAACATACTTTGGGGTTTATAGAAGTGGGGATTTCCCCTTTTCCTGCTTTTGCAGCCCAGTGCCTCCCCACCCTGCAGTCCCTGCTGCTGGGGTGCAGGGCAGGGGGATGGTTGGACTTGGACACATCACCTAAAGCAGTGGAGGGTATTTCCAAGTCTCTGGTTTGTTTTGTTTTCAGCCAAAGGGTTTTCAGCTGTCAGGTGTTCTCTTCTTCCAACAAAAATAAAAGATTAAATTGTCTGCAGAAAGCAGGCACCTTCCAAAAAAATATCCTTCTAAAGAAAACCCAATATCCTGTTGGAAAACAGCTTCAGTGAAAAACAACCAACAAGAACTTTGTGTGGTTTTGTCCCAAGGCCAGCTGCTTCCCTTAAAACTTAACCCACTTCTGGAGAGCCACTTGCTGCTTCAGTGTAAGAGAAGGGAAAAAACATAAATGTTCCAGTGGTCGCTGGAAGGACAGTGTCAAATGTTAACATTAATAATGGATCAAGCATCAATAATTATCAAGCATCTCTCTGTTTAATTTAGGAGATGGAGACAGAGTTGTGCTGATCAGGCAGTTGCATTGCTTTTTTTCTACCCTGGGCATTTTGTGAAGAATTTTGCAGAACCAAAATTGTATAAGTATATCAACAGCTTATAATATTAAGACCAATATATTACTTAAGCTGGAAATAATATCCAGAGCCTGTTGCAAATCATTCCAGTGTGTTAAAATTATGCCAATGTTATCATCTGTTAAAAAGAGCTTATATTTGATTTATATTGATAGTTTATTTTCAAGCTGAAGTGGTCAAGAGTATAATGTCTTTGGTTCTGGATTATGATTGATGTATTCTTTGATGATCAACATGTTTGATAGTCCAATAAATGTATTGCAATGGTTTTACTGTCATAGATGTAACTGCATACCTGTTATTAAATTAAAAAAAAAACAACAAAAACAATAAGATAACAATTGAGATATTAATAGATTTGGAAATGGGATATTAATTTCAGTTACCAACTATTGTGCTGTTATTGTGTTTTATTTAGAGCTGAAGTGAATAAAAGCTGTAATTTCAAAGACAATCCTGCTAACATTTTCAAAAGGAACTTGCGTTAATTCTGCCTGCAAATACAAAATTTACCATATCAAAGTTCATGATGGGTTAAAATTCCCCATAAGGTGTTGCTGATGGAAGATTTGGATAAAAATAACCATATCAAAGTTAAGATTAACTGAATCTTAATCATGAGACTACACATATAGATAAAAAAATAAATAGATAGAAGAAATAGAAAATAGAAGGAAAACATCTTTGCCCCATATTTTCAAAGAGAAAAAGACAACCAACCAAAAAAAAAACCCCAAAAAATCCAAAACAAACAAAAAACCCCAAAAAAACCAAAAAAACACCAACAAAAACAAAAACAAAACAAAAAAAACCAAACAAACAAAAAAACAAACAAACAAACAAACAAAAAAGGAGGCAATTTAATCAAACACTGTGTGAAAAAGCAAATAATCTTTATGGACTTTGTTTATTTATCAGACAGTATTGCTTAGCCAGTTCTTAGCAAGAACAATAAAGTGGCATAAGGGTTAAAATGTTTTGAAGACACTATA